TGATACAAGATTAACACTTTGGCAGAAGGGAGTAATTCTAAAATCCATTCCTGACACAGCATTATTCACTCTGCAGAAAAAAAGATGACTGCCCCACCTCTCCTAACCCCCACTCAAATTCCAACCACACCAATAGAAAGAAGTCTTGAAACTGTGAGCTGGGAGCTAACTTGACTCTACTCTGTTTCTTTCTTTTTTTCTTTTTTTTTTTTTGTTTTTTTTTTTTGAGACAGAGCCTCAAGCTGTCCCCCTGGGTAGAGTGCTGTGGCATTACAGCTCACAGCAACCTCCAGCTCCTGGGCTCAAGTGAGTCTCCTGCCTCCACCTCCCAAGTAGCTGGGACCACAGGCACCCGCCACAACGCCGGTTGCAGCCATCATTGTTGGGCAGGCCCGGGCTGGGGATTCGAACCCGCCACCTTAGGTGTACGTGGCTGGCGCCTTAGCCGGTTGAGCTATAGGCGCCGAGCCTTTTCTTTTGTTTTGAGACAGAGTCTCACTCTATCACTGTGGGTAGAATGCTGTGGCAATCATAGCTCACAGCAATCTCAAACTCTTGGGCTCAAGAGATCCTCCTGCCTCACCCTCCTGAGTAGCTGGCATTATAGGTACCCACCACAACGCTCAGCTAATTTTTTTTGATTTTTAGTAAAGTCAGGGTCTCTTGCTCAGGCTGGTCTTGAACTCCTGAGCTCAAGCAATCCACCTCAGCCCGCCTCAGCCTCCCAGAGTGCTAGGATTACACACATGAGCCACCATGCCCGGCATACTCTACTTCTTTCTAATAAATCCTTTCCTTAATCCCTGGACTGCCTCTTCTCCTTCTTGCAGACCCTCCCCTGGACTCTACCCCTGAGCCTCTCAGGCCTGTCTTCTATAATTTATGAAACCCACCAGATTTGTCACTGAGATTTGTCACTACAGTAGTGAGTGCCTAGACCTGACCTTTTCTGAGGAAGACAAGGCATATCAGTTTTAGAGTCAGAGCTGCTTTGAATCCCCCCATTAGCTGTGTGTCCTTACATAGCTTACTTTACCTCTCTGGGCCTTTGCTTCCCACCAGTAAAAATTGGGATAATACCTTGGAGGCTTTACAAGGATTAGATGAGGTCATGCTCAGAACACATGCCACAGGACCTGATATATTAGATCAGCATCTGCTCCAGTTAGTGTAGATACTGTTATCTTTGTTACTTCCTGAGTGTGGCAGGAGCCCCATAAATGGTTTGATCCAGGTCCACATTGCCTGTTAGTTTAAGTCACTTGATTCCTCAACTCCCTCATTTCCTCCCCAGTATTTCCCCAGGGCCCTGGGGTCCTAAAGCAACAAGGGAGCACTGCCCTCCCTCCACAACCCCCACGCCCAGGTCCCAGACCTGCTATCTCCCAGCCATATGAGCCTGGGTCAGTCATCTGACCTCTGTGGGAAACCCTGCTCTGCCTGCCTTTGGAGGGTTGCTGTGGACAGCAAATGAAGTAGTGAATTGGAAGCCTCTTTATGGACTGTAAATTAACACAAACAAGGGATTATCATTAAAAGCAACAAACCCCCCATTGATTAGAGCATTTCTTTGGGGGAAAAAAATAGCTCTCAGTATTAAGTAGGACCCTCATGGGAGTGGGAAGCGCCCTTCACCTCTGTGGGGAGGGGTGAAGTCTTTTAAGACACCATTAGCGTTGTAGTTAATGGTGATAGAGCACCGGAGTTGTTACCATGATGGTTTTTTCCTCTGTAATTGTGTTCACCTCAAAAACCACAAGTAGCAGCAGGTTCCAGTGGTCTTTATTTCATTTGAAAAACTAATTGGAAGTTGAAAGGGCCCTCAGATTTCGCTTTTGTTGGGACGGGCCAAGGGACAAGATGAGCAGGTGGGTCCAGATGAGGAAGGAGGGGTCTCAGGGCAGGCCAGGCGCCTCTCCCATTCAGCAGCCTCCTCCTTTGTTCTCCTCCTTGGCAGGTTCCGGGCCTGCCTGCCTCTCTTGGTTGAAGTGGACCGCCTGCCCTCAATGGCCAGCCTTTTCCTCTGGAGGAGTTTTTGTTTCCCATTGTTCTGATTAGCTCCTCAGCAGAGCCACCAGAGCAGCCCCCTACAGACCGTTTCCCACGCTTCACATCTTTCTCTCAGGGTTCCCAGGGAGAGCAGGTGGTCTAAACTCGGTGAAGAACCGAGTTGGTTGTACAGTTCTGGTGCTGGGAGACTGGAGACCTGGGTGCCAGACCCTCAGGACTTGGATCAAGTGCATTCCTTCCCTGCTGGCAGTATCCTAGGCTGGAAAACAAAGCAGGTAGGATTGTTCGGCTGAGTCACATCAACTCGAAGATGCCTTGATTCTTTTTGCACTTTTAATCAAAGTCATCATCCAGACTTTTCACAGTTATTAGTTTTTTAGGTTTAGTTTACCTAAAAAATAAATCTGTGCAAAATGCACAGATCTTAAGTGGACAACTCAATGAATTTTTATACATAACTACACTGGTATAAGCACTACCCAAATACAGAACCCCAGAAAGTTCATAGATTCTGATAAGAAGTATGTGAAGGATAGCTAATGTGGCCCAGATAAAATGATTCATGCATAGAAGAAGTTGGGTGATCACTGATATAGAGACCCCTGGTTAGTGGCACCAGTTCTCTGCTTCCCTTCATAACAAAATTTCTCCAAAAAATTGTCTATACCAGTGTCATCCAATAGAAACACGAGGCAGCTACACAGGTGATTTTACATGTTCTAGTAACCATGATAAAAAAGTAAAAAGTAACAGGTGATGTGAATTTTAATATATATTATTTAACTCAATATATCTAAAATACTGTCATCTTAATATGTGATCAATATAAAAATATTGATATATTTTGTATTCTTTTTTATATTCGGTCTTTGAAACCCAGTGTTTTATTTAGACTTCAAGCACAGCTCAGTTTGTACCAGACACATTTTGAGTGTTTGACAGCCACATATGTCTCATGGCCACCACATCGGACAGCCAGGTCTATACTCACCAGCTCTGATTCCTCTTCTCTCATCTCTCTTGAACCCACTCAGTAAGACTTTGGCCCCCACCCCTTCACCCAGTTTGTTCTTCTTCTTCATCAGTGGTTTCCATGATCATTCCCATGGTCAGTTCTCAACTGACTTGACCTGTCAGCAGCATTTGGTAGAATAGATCACTCCCTTCTTCAAACGCTTCCTTCGGTTGGCTTCTGGGATTCCTCTCTTGATGGTTTTCCTGTCACCTCACTGCCTGCTCCTTCTCAGTCTCCTCTGCTGGTTCTGCATCTTCTCTGGAGTGCCCATGGGTCAATCTTTGGACTTCTCTACCCTCTCTGTGTTCTTCCTTGGTGATCTAACCAGTCGCCTGACTTGAAAGACCATCTAAATAGTGACAGCTGCCAAACCAATCCAGCTACCAGGACCTCTCTTCTGAACTGCAGACTTGCTCACCTCTGTGCTATTCACTATCCTCATTTGGACCTTTAATGGGCACCTCAGACTCAATATGTCAAAACTCAAGTTCCTAATATTCTCCCCACCCCTAAAATGTCTAAGGGATAGTTTCAATGTTCCAATTCTCAAACCCCAAACTTGAGAGTCATTCTTGACTTCTCTCTAATCCCTCTAACCTATTGAATCAGCAAATGGGTTTTACCCTAACAATGTATCCAAAATTTGATCACTTCTCAGAGTGATTTTTTTTTTTTTTTTTTTTGGAGATAGGTTCATATTGTGTTGCCTGGACTAGAATGCAGTGGCATAATAATAGCTCACTGAAACCTCAAACTCCTGGTCTCAAGCAATCTTCCTGCCTCAGCCTCCCAAGTAGCTGGGACCACAAGCACATACCACCACCATGTTCAGCTAATTTTTAAACTTTTTTTAGGTACAGGGTCTCACTATGTTGCTAAGGCTGGTCTAGAGCTCACAGCCTCAAGCAATTCTCCTTCCTTAGCCTCCCAAACTGCTAGGATTGCAGGTGTGGGCTACTGCATCTGGCCTCTTAAATAACTTTAAAAATAAAATAAGCTCCCTGTTTCTGCTGCTTTGGCCATTTTTGCTTATAAAGCCCATCTCTGTGCAGTTCACTGGAGCTCCCTTCAGGTTGCTGCTGCCCAATGCATGAATCACTAATGAAAACCAATCTAGCTCTTTACACCTCAACTTGTTAAAATGTCACGTTGCATCATCTCTTTTCTGACTATGGATGCCTGCTTCTGCCCCAGCTGGCCTCACTGACCTCCTTGCTAGTCCTCCTTCCACACTCCTGCCCCAGGGCCCTTGTGCTGGGTTTTCACTCTGCCTAAATGTTCTTTATCCAGAGAGTCACAAAACAAGCTCCCTTTCTTCCTCAGGTCTTTACTCAAATGTCACATCATCAGTGAGGCCTTTATATCTGTACATTGTGAATAAAATAATACCCTTCACTACTCTCCATACCCTTAAAGTTTTCTCCCTTGCACTTGCCACCAAGTGACATATTCTACATTTTCTTGGTTTTGTTATCTTCTCCTCTTCACCTTGGAATTTAAGTTCTACAAGATCAGGGACTTTGTTTGCTCATGATGGTCTCCCAGTGCCTAGAATGGTCCCTGGCCAATAGTAGGTATTCTGTAATTATTTGTTGAATGAATACATGGTATTGTTGATAGGCGAGTAAGCCACCAGTGGATGGATGAAGGATGACTTTGACCTAGGGTAGATAAATATGTTTAAGAGCCTGGACTGCCTGGATTTGAATCCTAGTTCTCACTTTTGCCAGCTGTGACTGTGAAATTTGTTTAAACTTTCTGGGCCTCAGTTCCTTGTCTGTGAAATGAGAAGGATGCCAATACCTGTGTAAAGCGCACATGAAACTCTATGCAGGAAGCTGCCTGGTAGCACTCTATGCCTGCTTGGTAACCCTTAGCTATTTCATTATTATTATCATCATACCTTGTAATACCACTTTGAGAAAGATAAACTGTGTAAAACACTTTAAAAAATTAGGCTGAAGATAAAAGAAAATTTAAACACAGATCAGTAAGGGGGAATTTTATTGTATTTACAAAGGAAAATGTAGGTCCAAAATGAAAGAGGATTAACTGGGTCCAGTTGTGTTTTGACTATTGATAGCTAAACCACAGGAGGAGTCTTCATCCTTGGGAATTCCTGTTGCAGAAAGAAAGATAAAACTCAATCCCAGGGATTGATGTAAGGGTGAGTTGGGGCAGGACGTGTAGAGCCAGGGTGACAGGTGCTCTAACAGCAGGAGCTGGCTCTTCAGGTTCCAAAGGAGGCAGCGTGGGGTGGAGGGAAACAGTCTCATGCGTGCCAGCAAAGCAAATCCCAGTGCTGGCCCCTGCTCTGCCAACCAGCTCTCACTGAGACCCTAGGCCAGTCATGTCCCCTTAAAGAAGCCACCACTAATCCCAAGGTGGGGTCATCTTCCCATAGTCTCTTCCCACTGATCACAAATTAAGTAACTGACTGGACAAGAATGAATTTAGTACCTGGCTGCCTCAGTGTGCTATGAATCCCATGGGCACAGGGGCCACTGTGGTCCTGGCTGCTATACTCCAGCCCAGAGCTGGCATGCCACGGTCACTGGACAATAGTGGGAGGATGGCTAAACTTGAACCTCAATTTCTTTGGGGGGCTGTTAAGGTGGACATAGAATGTGGGGTGTACAAAAGTATGGCACCTCTCACATCACTCTGCGCCCTGCAGAGTGTGAGAATTATGCCCTAGAGTGTAAGAATCCATCCCTATTTCATGTACTCCCTCCCCTGTGATATCCTGGTGTTTGCAGTAATTGAGCTGGAGGAGGAACAATGGCTGTAGCAGCCTCTAGCCCCCTTCCTGCCAGCTCTGTGATTTGGAGCTCTGTGAAGCCTCTGGCTTTTAACCTGTGGGAACAAAGCCTGCATTCTTAGGCTTGGCCTTCCTTGGGGCCATCCGGCCCACCGGGGCCTGATGGGGCCGGTAGCAGGTGAATAAGGGCCTAATCCCAGCAAGAGGCACAGTGGGGGTGTTCTTAGAGAAATTAATTTAGAATTCTAGCCATGGGGACCTGAGAGGTGGTCAGAAGGAACATTTCCTTTCTTAGAGGAGGAAGCTAGGAAGCCTGCTGCCTGCAAATAGTTGGTTGCAGAACCAGGGCCCATCCCCCCTCCCCCCCCAGTCTGATCCTCACCCCTTACATCTTCTGCTGCAGGCCTGCTGCTGCTTCTGTCCCCACAGGGCTAGAGGACTTGGGATCTCTGGGCTCCTGATTTCTAATTAGGTTGGAAAGAAGGTGAGAGAGCTCTGTTGGGAATTCGATTTGTTTAATACATGTATATGGGTCCATAAGTGCCCAGCAAGGTCACGGAGGGACACGCTTGTGTTCACAGTTTAAAATCAGGCTCTAGGCTGAGCACAGTTGCTCATGCCTGTAATACTAGCACTGTGGGAGGCCAGGCAGGTGGATTGCTTGAGCTCAGGAGTTCGAGACCAGCCTGAGCAAAAGTGAGACCCTGTCTCTACTAGAAATAGAAAAACTAGCCAGGCATTCTGGCAGGCACCTATAGTCCCAAATACTTGGGAGGCTGAAGCAAGAGGCTCACTTGAACCCAAGAATTTGAAGTTGCTCTGTGCTACGATGCCATAGCACTCTATCCAGGATAACAGAGTAAGACTCTGTCTCAGATAAATAAAATAAAATAAAATAAAATAAAATAAAATCAGGCTCTAAAACCCAGCAGGGTTTCTCTGAACAGTTGTGTCACTCTTGGGAAATGTTGTCCATGAAGTAGAGTTTTGTATGAAGCAGTTCAGGGAGGCAAAGCAGATTTGGGGCCTGCAAGACCCTGGGGCCAGCTGCAGCCCCTTCTTTGCCTCACTTTTCCTCTTCTGTAAAATAGCCTCCTGTGGAAACGTGAAGGCCAGGGAGACGGGGAACAGCAGTGGTCTCTGGCTCTTCCCTGATGATGGTGTGTCTGCACACAATGGTCTACCACAGAGTGTGTGAGACTGGTCTGTCTTTGGTTATTATAGTTCTGTGTTGTTTTGTTTTGTTTTTGAAATGGAGTTTCACTCTGTTACCCAGACCACAGTGCCGTGGCCTCAGCCTAGCTCACAGAAACCTCAAACTCCTGGGCTCAAGCAATCCTCCTGGCTCAGCCTCCTGAGTAGCTGGGACTGCAGGCACCCACAGCAATGCCCAGCTAGTTTTTCTATTTTTAGTAGAGATAGGAGTCTCGATTTTGCTCAGGCTGGTCTTGAGCTTCTGACCTCAAAGGATCCTCCCGTCTCGACCTCCCAAAGTCCTAGGATTACAGATGTGAGACCCCGTGCCTGATCAGCTTTATCAGTGTGAACTTGGCGAGGGATCTAGGGTGTGCCTTTCAGATCACCTGCATCAGAATCCTCTGAGACACTTGATTCAGGTTTCTGGGTCCTATCCCAGAACGATTAGTGAGTTCCATTTTCGGGCACAGAGGCTGAGTCTGGCCTCTGGGGGCATGCTCAGAAATACAGCAGTGGATAAGATGTAGTCTCCATCCTATGTTTTCTCCCCTTTCTCTAGTTCTTAATGTGTGTAAGGAGGGAACTTGTTCTCCCTGTGCTTAGCCCCACACTTTTGGAGAGCAGGTGGGGATTCTTTCCTTTTCCTGGCATGAGAAGGAAGCTCTGAGAACCCTAAGTACACACACACACACACCACACAGACACACCATACCTGTGCTTCTGCAGCAGGGCCACCAGGATGCTCTCCAATGCCATTTGCTTTTTTTCTGCCCACACACTTTCTACCTGACGGCCACGCCGTACTCTTGTTCCTTGCTCCTGGTTTCTCTCTCTATGTGGTTAGAAAAAGAAAAATAGCTGTGATTGCTAGTTGGGTAGCATGAGGAAAGGTAGGGGTAAGGCCCTATGCCTATTCCGGTATCTGGTGAGGACTCTTCTCCCCCACTGAATAAGATTTGCCCAGATTTAGGGAGGCAGTATATATAGTAGTGAAGTACAGGAGTGCAAGTGTACACAGTTGCAAAATGTCTCCCCACAGATTAAGTATAAAGTTACCATCCACAATAATGGGGCAAATGGACATTCTGTGCCTCCTAATACCAAGCACTAAGGACACAAGATCACTACTGTGAGTGTACCGGTCTACCACAGCGGGTGGGAGACTGGTCTGTCTTTGGTTTTATAGTTTTGTGTTGTTTTGTTTTTGAAATGGAGTCTCTATAATGAATCTAATAATGAGGATGCCTCCAACAAATTCAGAGTGAAGAATATTCTATAAATCATTGGCCTGTGGCTCAAGAAGTGGGGCACTGGCCCCATGTTCCAGAGGTAGTGGGTTCAAACCTGGCCCTTGGCCAAAAAACCGCAATCAAAAAAAGAATCATTAGCCTTTGCTAATCAAAATGTCCAGGTCACGAAATTCCAGGTCGGGCATGGTGGCTCATGCCTATAATCCCAGCACTTGGGAGGCTCAGGCAGGTGGATTGCCCAAGCTCACAGGTTTGAGAATTGCCTGAGTCGGAGCAAGACCTTGTCTCTAAAAAATAGTAGGCGTTGTGGAGGGCACCTATAGTCCCAGCTACTTGGGAGGCTGAGGCAAGAGAATCGCTTAAGCCAAGAGTTTGAGGTTGCAGTGAGCTGTGATATTATGGCACTCTGTCGAGGGTGACCAAGTGAGAATCCGTCTCAAAAAAATAAATAAATAAAAATAAACTCCAGAGACATGACAACTAAATAGAACCCATGACGCTGGATATTGGATCCTGGGTTAGAAAAAGAAAGAATTGTTATAAAAGACATTCTGGGACAACTGGGAAAATTCAAATATGGGATATAGGTGATAATTATACTGTGATTGTGTAGGGGGATGTCCTTTGGTTAGACATTAGGAGGCATGTGCAAAAGTACCCAAGGGGGTGTCGTGATGACTATAATTTTCTCTCAAATGGCTCAGCCAAAATGATAATACTAATAAACTTGTATATAGGTGTGAGTGTGGATAGACCTATATCTAGCCATAGATACAAAGTAAACACATATAGAAGAGTGTTAGGAATTAGAAGGGTATAGGGAAGTCCATGGGACCATTGTTGCAACTTTTTGGTACTTGGAAATGTTTTCAAAATAAAAATGAAAAAGTGAATAGGCTGTAAAGTCAGGTTGTTTGGATCCTAACTCTGCCCCTCTTGGGTTGTGTGTCCTTTAGAAGCTATTAATGGCTCTATACAATGGGGGTAAGTGTCCCTACATTTTAGGGTTGTTACAAAGATCAGACAAGAAACTGAGGATAATGGCTGACACTACCAAGGGCTCCCTGTGTGTTGGGTGTCGTGTGAGCATGTCCTAGTACAGAGCCTCTCTTTCTGGCACAGAGTCACAATCAGATGTTACTTATTGTCAGTAGTGATATCCTCTGAGCCCAGGCTAGGAAGGAGCACATGGTAAGGGTAGAGGTAAGTTAAGGTTCAACACAGGTCCCCTTCTACCATGGAAGGTTCAGAAATGATGCTGTGTCAGGGAGGAGACCAGACTTGGTCCCTGGCCTCTTGTAGTGGGGCTTCCAAACCTGGGTGCACAGCGGTGTGGGAAGAAATGACTAGAACCTCTGCTCACCCCTGCTGCCTGCTCATGATGTCCTGGAGCAGCTTGCGGGCAGACAGCTGCCCCAGCACCTTCCGGTAGCTGTTGGTGAAGATGGCGTCTGCGTAGCGCCGCATCCTGTGCCCGAGGAGGAGTCAGAGGTCAAAGGGCAGGGTGGGGACCAGTCAAGAGGACAGTTGGGGCTGCACTCACCACGTCTCTGCAAGATCTTTCTGTTGCCCTTTGTCCCACGCACCCCCAGAGAGACTCAGACCCTGGCTGAGCTGCAGAAATAGTGATGGATGGCTCCATCCTGCAGCCTCTAATGCCCGCCCCATGGCAGAGATGGCTCCGGAGTGGTGGGAACCCAGGTACTGCTTACCTGAGGGGCAGGGGTAGGGGAGGGGAGCAGTGGGAACTGCTGCTGAGGGTGAGGATCACAAAGAGGAATACCCAGAGTGGCATCCTTCACACCGGTGGTGGCCCCTGCAAAATGACAGGAGGGAAGGTCAGGCCCAGCCAGAGCCACAGAGATGCCCTTTACTGGCTGGGCCCAGCCCTGGGCTTGGCTCCATGATAAGCCTCGGTTCTTGTCCCTTGGAAGCTGTGGGATGAGAAAAAGAACCTAGACTCAAGTTTAAGTGTTCAACTTCTGCCTCTACCAGTCACCAGCTCTGACTTAATTTCTCGGTGTGTGAAATGAAATGAACATGATAAAGTTCCCCCACCAACCTTGTAGGGTTGAGCAGAAAACCAAAGATAGCAGTGAAACCGCCCCTTGCTGGGGGCATTAGAGGTGGGATTTGGACCTCAGCAAAGGATAGAGGTTGGAGAAAGCACCTTCTCTCAGGGCCCCTCCATCACACCCATCCAGTGTGGCACTCACAGCAGGGAGCAAGGTAACTGCTCAGCTCTGAGTCAGACAAACTTGAATTCAGATCCTGGCTCTGCGGTCACTAGCTGTGTGTCCCAAGACAAGTGGTTTCACCTCTCTGGGCCTTCTCAACCAGATGGCAACTATACTTCCTGCATTGGGTTCTGGTGAAGATCAGGTGAAATGAGACATTTGAATGAATAACTTGGCACACAGGGAATTCTCTATAAACCTTTGCTGTGGTTACCTAATATTGGCCAGCTCAGTGGGCAGACCTATCCCATTTTTCTTTTGCATGGAGTTGGAGGGAAGGGAGAAAGTTATACATATGCTCCAGATGCTCAGATTTCGCTGAGGAGTCTTAGTCCTGGAAGAGCCCAGAAAGCCGAGGGAGCCAGTGTGGTGGCAGCATCATCTAATCTCATAGATCATGTAATCACCCATAAGTGGGGCCTTTTGACACTGTGCTCTGCAATTTGGGGCAAACAGTCAGCAGGGGACAGAGCTTGCCTCAGCAGGGGAAGGTGCCATCGCTGTCAACCCAGACCTGACCCATGGGTCTTTCCCTCTCCCCTGGGAACCCCCTCTCTCAGCAGGGTATCTACTCTGTGGGGATTCAGGCCCAGCCAGAGGTTCAGTCAGCCCCCAGGAGGGCAGCACCATCTCCATCCCCATGATTACCTCACAAGCATCCCCGACCACCACAGTCCTGCTGAGGAGGGATTTCTGGCAGGCAGGGTCATGACTGGCAAGGATCCACCTGACTTGTCTGGACTCACTTGCCCTCTCAGGACATTCATTCCCTTCTTGGCAGACACTAAGGTCTTCCCTAACCTAGGGGTGCTTTGGACCCTCAGGCAGCACCCATGGGGATTGCTCACTGCAGCCTGAGCTCCCTGCACCTCCAGAGCTGGAGGGAGCAGCAGCCCTCAGGGGTCAGCCCCTCCCTCCTTAAGATGCACCCCCACATATTGGCAGTCCCCCAGTTCCTGCTCGAGCAAACACTTGCTGCCAGTAAATGACAAGAAGACCCTGAATACAGTCTTACTTCCAGCAGTGCTTACTGTTACCAAGTTTTTCTCATTATGTCAGTCCCAAATCTCCTCCTGCAAACATTTATTTAGTCTTACTATTCCAACAGGTACTGAAGCTAGAGAAAAGATGAGAACGTGGGAACATGGTGTCTGCCCCCCAGGGCTGCCTCCTTAAGGTCCACCTGCCCTGCCAGCCAGCCACCTGCAGCCACATGATATGGTTTGCATCTGAATTAAGCCTTTGCTCCTCAGATCAAGAATGTGCAGTCTCTGTCCTCCTCCTCACTCCGTATACCATATCTGGCTCCCCCTCTCCCAACCCGGGCTGGGCTGCCTCTCCAGAACTGAAATTTCCTAAGCAGGGAGGAAATATGGAGCCAAACAGGGCCCTTTGACGCCAACCACTGCTTTTTCTGTCTCCTAGCTGCAGCCTGGCCCCCTCACCTCTTTGCTGCTGATCTTTGAAAGATGTGAGCATATCTAGGTTTCTGATCACTTCACTCTCCTGCTCAGAGGCCTTGGCTCCCCACTCCTTCCAGAGTGAATCCCAAACCCCTCTTCTTGACCTGAGCTCTTCCTCTGCCCCCCCCCCCACCTCTGGCCCCTTCTCCGTAGAGCGGGCACAAGTGATTTCCAGCCCCCGTGCCCTCCTGGATGGCACGGTCCACCCTCGCAACTGCCCTCTGGAGCAGGTATCAGTACCCTCATTTTACAGTCAAAGAAACAAGCCCAAAGAGAAGGATCTTTTCCCATGGTCCTCCATCAAATTAGTTTCGGAGTGGGCACTTCAGAACTGGCCTCCCAATTCCCAGGCCAGCAGACTTCCCCCTGCTCTGTGCAGCAGCCTCCCAGACACAATACCCTATTCACAATGCTCCCTATTCATGGGGTGCTTCAGAATTCATCACCTGCACATGGGAAAAGGTCTGAAAAAAGAGAAAACTGAAAGCTTTTGCTTTTTGTCATTGGGCCTCTGGGGAAGAAAGAATGGGAACAAGCAGGAACACCTGCTTGTTTGGCCCCTCCCTCTGTGCACCAGTGGCTTTGGAAAGCTGAAAATAAAGAAGATGGCAGACTCTGGGGGGCAAGTCACGGTAAATACAGTAACATTCCACTCATTCAAAATGAGCCTAAGTGACCGCACAGTTTGGTTAACCAAAAGGCTCAACATTGGCTTAAATTATGTGCTCAGGGATAGATCAAGACACCACAGCAACCTCTGGGCTATGGGGACCTAACCCATGGGGTTGCATATCCCGCTGGACAAGGATGGGGAAGAACAAGAAGTATCCAGCTCATGGTGAGATAATAGTAGAGATTGTGTTCCCAAGGATAAAATAGCTGTTGACAGACACATTCCACATGACACCCCAAAGAGCCAAAATTCACTGAGTTAATGTAATATGACCCCTGCAGCATCACTGACAACTCTTTGGGGTCTGAAGGAGTTCCAGAGTTTATGGTCTTCCATTGTGAATATCAGCCAGCTTTCTGTAGGGCTTACAGTTCTGTGATTAGATACATTTGAGGTCGTCTAGAATCAGGATAAATGAGCACTTGATCTATATCATTTGGAACCTTTTGCCAGCCTTCATGCCACGAATGCCATAACAACTCTGCAGATACACCTTTGGCTAATGGCAGAGGTCAAGTTTTAAAACTAACAACACCATTTTCGAAAAGCTAGGAGAAGAAAATCTTTAACCTTTCTTAAATACGATATTCTGCTTTGAAATTTGAGAACCCCAAAGCATCTACATCTTGATCCAGTTTATAAACTGTTTCAACAACAGTGTTTCAAGATGTAGGAAATCTAGGTTTTTAATGCGGAAGCATCTTGAAGAGCCATTCGAAAGAGTGACACCCCACCTCCTTCCAGAAAGGGGTTGAGATGGCTTACAGTGAAAGACACAGATATTCCCGGACCATTAATTCAAGGATCAGGAGATAGGCATGGGGTCAGGGAGGGCTTCAAAGGCAGATAATTGTGTCTAAAACCTACAGTAAGAAGTATGGCTGCAATTGAGCAAGAAAGCAAAATGTTATCAATTTCCAGGCAATTACACTGAATTGGTTCTGAGCAGTCGATGAATGATATTGATTTGTGGAGCTGCTTGGCTCCTCTCCGATCCATGCCAGAATCTCATCGTTGATGGGAGAATTGAACCAATTCACGTATTATCCCAGAAGCTGGCCCTATACCCTTGAAGGAGCACTGAGATTTCACTTGCCTCCGACAGACACCTGGAGCAGGTCTTCCTGCCAATTATCCCCGATTTGAAGTACCACACACCCAAGAACAGCCCCAAATGCCACCAACCATCGAAAGCATGTTTCAGAGCCCACAGCAAGCCCGGCCCCCAGGGGCATCCCCCTCACCTCCGACCGTGGCAGGTCTCCCTCTGCTCTGAGGTGCTGCTCCAGTTCACGGGCCTCGGCTGGGCGTCCACTCTGGTGGCTGCCAGGCACTGCCATCATTTATACCTTCATTTTCCTAAGTGTTGTCAGCGTCAGAGAGTCAATTACCCACGAGTCAACCGAAGAACCATTTTTAGCATCACATCCACAAACCTTAATAGGCAAAAGCAGTTTTGCCCCTTGCAAATTAAGACTCCTATTGAACTTTATCTCTGAGGGGATGGACAGAGTACAAAGTTGTGCTATTATCCTGAATAGAGTATATTACATAGCTACTCTAACAACTGGAGTACTCACAGCGGTGTAACACTAAGGGTTCATTTATTCATGAAGATAAATGTGCTTTTTAAAAGTTCATCGAGTTTAGTTTTGTCCATGTACAACTTTACTGCACGTTTGAGTAGCCAACATTACAAATAAATGTTTCTCTCTCCTTAGGGAGGAAAATGGTTCGCTATCTCCCTTGTCTAATTATCAGAATTTTCCTCTATTGGGTTCGCAACTGCTGCGGTCACAGGCCGATTTCGACAGCTAGCCTGGGGAGCCTCCGTCCTTATGTGTCAAGGCAGCCAGGCATTGGCAGTTATCTCAGAAAAGAGTGAAGTGTGAGGTAAGAGATGAAACGTTAGGAGGATTGCTATGCTTCCTGAATTCTCTAGCCTATAGCTAAGAAATCCTCAAGAATGACATGAAAGTACACGCGTCGGAAGCTCTGGTTTCTCACGTGGCAGATGCAGAGGAGCTCTAAGTCCTGGGTCCAGAACCCTGTGCCTCTCCTTAGCCTGTCAATCATGACCCCTGCGACCACCAGCAAGTAACTTCTACCCTCCAGGTCTCAGTCTCTACACCTGGAAACTTGAGAGTTGGCATAAAATGGCAACTTTTAAACATTTTTTTTTAAATGGCATAACCCTTCCTTTGAAAATCTTCTACAAAGCACAGAATATATAACAGGGTTTAAAAAACGGGGCCTGCTCTGATTGAAGAGGGGGAGAGGGAGTCCCCTTTGCCTGTCCCTGAGGTACTTCTAGGGGTCACAGTTAGAAGTGGCAGTTTGTGAGGGTCCTCTTAGCAATAATGTTTTGTGATTCTATTTTTTCCCTCCACACTGAACCATGTTCTTGGTATTGAGGAAACTTGGGGCATTTCCTATAAAAG